AGGGGTGGCTTGGACTGATGCATTTTAATTAGTGTTTCACCAGCCAACCTAGCCCACATCTAAAGGATTACAGTTCTACAAATTGTTATCTGTGGAAGTTACAGGTTCAAGAATATTGGCAAGCACTAGTTTGATTACCGTTTATTTAAAAACAGTGTATGTCTTTTGTTGGGAATGTGCTCCTTTGTTTGTCTGCTGTATGCAGTGAAGGCTGAATATCGAAAATATCTTGTTGGTCTATTGCATTGCCTTTGCGGGCCAGCCTGACCAGGAATTGATTGCTAAAAAGTCCTTTCACCTCAAATATTAGAAAATCAGCACAGCAGCTAAAAGTCATAGAATCAAAATCTGAGAAGGTATGGATATTTTTCTTGTCAAAATCAAACCAGACAGAACTCTGGAATGGAATGGAATGGAATTAGCTTTCCTTTCCAGAACTGTGTATGTTTTTTCCACCAGCCTTGCCTTCTTCAAAAATTAGTTTTATTCCTTATCTAGTGCGGGAGTTCAAGTTTTTTTTCCCCCTACATTATGTTCATTTTGTGAAATTTTCCATTCTCTTTACAAGTTGTGAAATAATGAGGGTAAGGGAGGGCTGCAGTTGCACGTAATTGCCTGCAAGTCCTGTATATGTAGATATTGATGTTTAGAAGAAGCTTTTAGATGAGATTTGAATAATTTAAGAATTGCTTATAAGTCCACTGTAGAAAGAAATTTTGTTTTGATACACTTTCACATGAAATGCAAGCTGTGAGAATTTCTGAATTTACGTGTATGTGCTTTTTTAAATTAAGGCAATAGTAGTAATGCCATGGAATAATGCATTTTTAAAATGTAATTTTCATTTGTATATATGTCAACAGCTTTGTCAATGATTTTTTTCTGTTCAGTCTTCAACTTCAAACTGGGCACTTAATTTTGAAGTCTAGGAACAGTAATTTCATTCCTATAAACCCATTTTGACCTTCTAGTGTATATATAAGAAAGAATGAATTAATGTGTTTTAACTTTATACTTCTGTAAACTGTAAAAAAAAAAAAAAAATCAGTATTCTTTATGAAAACCAATACTGGACTTTTAATCTGTTACTGCAGTTTTGGCAGCACAGATTTCCATGGCTCTGTAATAGGTACAGTTTTCTTGGGACCATTCATTCTTTCATCTGATTTGTTTGGAGAAGCTAGATTGTGTAATCATTCTTTGACTGCATGAAGCACAAACTAATTTATTTTTCAAAAATCAGTTCAGAACTCAAGGAATTTAATCCAAATGAAATTTACAGATTACCTTGAGGACTGTATTTGTACTGAGTTGATTCAAAATGCAGTATAAAACCTGGGATGAGTGGGCATGGTATGGAGATGCTGACCTACTTTTTGAAAGGACCAATTTCCTACTTCCAGTGAAAATACTGTCAGTGGCTGTTTATTTTATTATAAAAACTGCAGCTCTAGGAATTCACCTTTCCTGTGACCAAATAAATGTCTGGCTGTGTTTCATTTTGGTTCCCATTCCTGTCTCAGAGGCAGAAACTTTTTGTGGGTGTGGGGGAGAAAAGGCTTTTTCCAACCTGGCTCAAATTCTGTGTCTTTTCTTGCCTTGGCTTTTCTATCTCTGCCAGTCTCCACCGCAGGTCCAGCCTGATCCTGCAAATTCCATTTTCTCCTTTATGTGCAAATTCTGCTGATCACTTCCACCTCCTTAACACGTCTCCTGGGCGTCCCTGCCTTCCTTCCATCTGTGCTGACACCACTACTTTTGACTGCATGTACTTGAAGTGTGACCGTGCCTTTTCTCTCGGCTTCGCAGTCTGGACTCCTTAGCACAGGCAGAGTGCTATGGTGCTGTTGCCCAATCTCTGAAACAGCGTCCTTCTAAAATAATTGTGAATTCAATAACATCTGAGGATAATAACATGAAAAATAATCCCAAATACTCAACAAAGTGTATATTTGGGGGGGCAAAAAGCTTTACACGTACATTTTAAATATTTTTAAAACATTTTTCAAATTTATGTGGAAAACAACACACATGCAGAGCTCAGTCATTGAGTTTTAGTCTAATTTCACATATTAAGTGGTACTTTTAATACTTTAAATTTTTCATGCAGTCATTGGACTAATGGCTGAGTTTATTATGTCACTGAAGCATTTGTACTGCGGGAAGACTAGTTCTACGCTAATACTGAGTTGCGTGTGTAGCAGCTGTGATACATTCCATGCACAAGACATCATGAGGTTTCTCATGAGTTGTCATTGTCCTCGTTGTAGGCAGCATCACATGGAAGTGAGTGTTTTTATTGTCCATTATGACCAAGTAGTTAAGATGTATACATTATTTTTAGGTTTTTTGTAAGTTCAAAACTGGATATAGAAACATATTTGTGTAGTAAAGTGTATAGCATACATAGTAAAGTGGTTTTGGTGGTTTTTTGTTCTTTAGCATGTTCAGTTATATGTGAGCTTTTAAAAGTAAATCTTTAAGAGAATCATTAAGCAGCTTTCCAGACAGAAACACGTCAGTAAAAGAGAATGACAATGTTTTCAACAATGTAGGAATTCTGATTTTTACTATTCTCTAACTTGGCCAACTATATATTCCAAGAATATGCCTTTTTTTGTATTGTTCCAGCCAACTTCAAATAATTAATGTTTTGAATTCAGGCAGCCTTTTCTAGGCAGAGATGCAAAAAAGCAACAGCTGGATGCTCCTTTAAGCCTAGTTTTCTTTAAAAGTAAATAAGTGCAGGCTTACATATACAAATATGTATAATAAAATATTTCTTATAAGTGTATGTATATATGTATGTATGTATGTATTCACCAACTACAAAGAGGGAGGAGCTGGCAGAATCAATTCTAAATATGCCAACACAATGTCGTGAGTAGTCTTGTGGTTGGACTCATCTGGAGTATGGGAGACTTAATTTCTGGTTTCTAGTCTGAATTGGGAATGGGTTGCTTGTCAATGACACACTGCAATGTACTTTTGCAAGTGATTATTCCCTGCTTTGGCTTAGGGTCCTCTCAGTTTCTTCTGCTGAAACTGTTCATGCTGTAGGATTAAATATTCCCTAGTATCAGTATCTGCTGCTTATCAAATAAGTGCCTTAACCATTGAGTATAGGTGATCTTTTTCTATAGCACCATTAATATTTATCATTCAGATGAAGTGGAACACCACCTGCAGAGAATGGGACATTGAGAGGCCCGTGGTCTGTCTATCTGGCCATAAATTTCATGCCTGTAGAAAGTGACACGTTGCCACAAGAATTCTTGGTTTCTGCCTACTTGTGTTTTCTGACCGAATGTATCAATGAAATATTTAGTTGATACAAATTCCAGACCAGGTTCTGAGAGCCCAGTTGATGGCAGTCAAGGTTTGATGTTGAAAAATTTAAGGGCAAGAGGTTACAATTAGCAGCTCTCTGAGCTTTTCAGTTGCACGTGAGATTTTTGCAGCTGAAGCTTTCCACTGCTCTTTGGTGATGAGAGCTTGAATGGCTCCAGTTATGTTGGTGACCTTCCAAGTCATACAGGCTTGGGAAAGCTTTATGTGCTGACGCAGCAGAAGGTTCAGTAATCTCCAGCAGGAAGCCAAAATAAGCAAAGCAAAATGCCCTTATTTGCACAAGGCAGTTCTGTTTGCACATTTACATTAAGACCCATAGGCTGCTTCCCCTCCCTTTTTTCTTTTTTTTAATGGGAAAAAGCAAAGAGATTCTGTTATCACCAAAGAGACAAGGAATCAGGTCTGTACTAGTAATGGCTGTCTGCTAAGCCATTAGCAGGCGTGGTGTAAGCAGGTTGCTATCCTGTTCCTGAGTCCTGGTGCTGGTTTCTGGCATGGAGGAGGAAGGCAGTGTTAGCTGTTAGCTTGGTGATCTCTTTCCTGGCTGCCGGGAACATGTCTGTCAGAGCTGGGCATAGGCACATAAAGAGAACTCTCTGAAAGCGTTCCCAGGTCTTGTGGTATCTTGTCATCATTTTTTCCCCAAATTAGGACTCCAGGGACATGCTGTCAGAAATCTTTACAATAGGGAACGATTTCTAAACTAGTCCCTCTGTGCGTTTTGAACGGTGACTAGCGAGCCTGATGGCAAACTGCTCATCTGGACATGCCTTCACAGATTTCCGGTCTCTCCGGACTGTCATATGCCTCTTGTGGATTATGCTGCCTCTCTTCCAGCTTTGGGTACAGTCAAATGAACTGTTGCAGGTGGTGCCGTGCTACCCCTGCTGGTGTAGCTGTCCATCTCCTCACTACGCCAGTTCTGTTAAATCATCAGAGATGTTTTAGTGGCTAGGTTTTTATTGACGTGGAGGACTTTGCAGAGCCAGCTTACAAACTGGTAAAGCAAGCACTGACAATAGCATTACTGAGAGACAGTGACTGCCCTCCATCGCTGCAGGAGCAGCTAACACCTGGAGATGTGCACAGGAATGGTAATCTATTTATTTGGATCATCAGCTGCATAGCTTATCTAATTGTGCTCTCAACCAAATAAAATAATTTCTAGAAGG